TTTCTTGTGGAACTTGGACTAGTTTCTACCGGGATTTGAGATTTTCTTGGATAGTGTGACCCCCTGATTGATGATACTGACAGTAATACCTATCTGTCCTTTTCAATGATTCGAATGGTCTCGGTTCGAGAGGTTTGATCTCGCCACTCTCGGAGAGCATTTCGAACATTTGTGCATATGGGATCCCAATTGGAGTGTAGATTCTATTACTCTTTTTAGGTCTTTTAGTGACTTGTAAAGGAAAACGCTTTGCTTCATAAGTCGTTCTCATGGGTGTGAATTCTCTCTTGGGTTCATCTTTCAGAAGTGGAACCTCGTCATATTTGTTTTGGGGTTCCTTTATAGCTTTGAGAGCTTCACATAGTAAATGCGATACCTCCATCATAGACAGTGTGAGCAATTGTATATCTTCCTTACTTTCCGGTTCTGGAAGGTTATCCTTAACATCAAAGAAGGTTTCCTCCTCCTTCTATGGCATAGATTTCTTTGACAGGTCTAATGAGAGACGAGGGGTCAACCTCATTTTCCTCGTCAGAGATAGCCAAGGCATGAGTGAGAGGTGCATTATCAATGCTTGGCTTCTTACTGGTAGGGGGCAATGGCAGCTTGTTGTTGTCGATTAAGTCTTGGATAGCTTCCTTAAGCTTCCAACAGTTTTCGGTAAGATGGCCCCTACCTTGGTGATACTTACAGTGTGCATTAGGGTTCCAATTAGCCGACCTCTTCTCGACTGGTGGGTCCCCAAATGGTCTGATAGGAGTTATAAGACCTTTTGCATTTAATCGATCAAATGTGGTGTCATAACTCATGCCAATAGGAGTGAAGTTCCTCCTAAATGGTTTCTTTTGTCCTTGATTGTTCATAGCAAGGACTTCACCTAAATTAAAAGTGCTAACATGGTTTGAGTGGGTGATTTTGGAAGAAGAAGGATTGTCGTTCTTCTTTCCTTTCCAGCCACTATTGAAGTTATTGTTGACAACTTTTAACTTAGCCAGGTCATCTTCAATATTGATCCCAATGTCATAGACGGCCTTGAAAGTATGGAGATTATTTTGATACTTGAGATGCTTGGAATATTTTTCTTGAAAATTTTTTATGAACAATCTTACAGACTCTTTTTCACTTGGCACCTTGATCATCTTAGCTGAGGTTTCCCTCCATTTGTTAAAGAAAGAGGTGAAGCCTTCGTTCTCTTTATGTTTGAGGATTTCAAGTTCCCTATGGTCAGTCTCGACCTGAATGTTGCACTTGTACCTATCAACGAAAGCGTTTTCTATGGACTCCCAAGTAGAGGTCTTTTCTTTCTCGAATCAACTTGACTTTACGGTTTATTTTAAGGAGGAAAAAATAAAAAATAAAAATAAAAAATTGGTGCATATTTTTGGCAAAAATAATGTACATATTTTTAAGGAACTAAATATAGTTTTTTTTTAAATTGGAGGATTAATATCCGACTTACCCCCCTGAAAAAATGACGGAATAAAATGCGCACACAAGACTCTCTTAGACATGGTCAAAGTATGTGTATTGGTGTGTGCGTTGTGTGTAAGTGACATGCTTGGACTCTTGTGTAAGACCATGGGACGTAGTGCCTAAACTTGATTAACGACTCAAACGAGTACTATTGACAGCAAAACTTAACCGAATTAATTAGCAAACTGATTAATTAGACACTAGGTGATGACTAGACCAATATTCCGAACTGTCGGCCAAACGACAGAACTGGAGTCACACTGTGCATCTTGGCGCCAGACCACATAGCGTCGCTTGGCGCCACACTCCACAGTGTGGTGCTACAGCTCAGATTTTGGCGCCAATGGTGGAGCTTCAATCTGAGACTGTTTTCGGTGTTATTAATCATCTGGGGTATGCCTAAAGTCTTACTAGGTCAATTCTGATTAAAATATTAGACTTTATTAACTCAAATTAATTAATTAATTACGCAAAGTTATTTAAGTCATTAATTTATTTAACCTCAACACAAGTCAAACAAACGGTTAAGAGAAACATAGAATATATGCACAACAAATAATGCACAATTAGTCAAGTAGACACAATATGATGCAATGAGTTTGCACCCTAACTATGGCTCTAGTTCTCTAAAGTTCGGGACATGGTTTAGTCAATAGAGGGTCCATGGTTAATTGTCCGGATGCACCGCGCGGAAACCTAACCGTGAAGGGTTGGCTCGAGTGGATGGGACACCGCGAGTTTTAGAAAAAACTCGCTTCCATGGTTTGGTGAATTCAACATTCTTGGATGTACCCTTTGTTGCACAGAGCGTTCAATCGGGTAGATGGAGCATGAATTCCTAGAGGGTTATGTCCATATGTAGAACACATACGGGTTTCAGAAAAGTGAGAAAAAATTCAATCAGGAAGTAGGATCGAGCAAACAATATGAAAAACCGGTCGAAATTAGAACGCATATTTCTAGCTCGGTATTGAGGGAAGTTGGCGCCAGCAAACAGAGACTGTAGCGCCTGGCGCCAATACTGGCGTCTGGCGCTACGGCTAAAAGTCTGGCGCCAATGCTCTGGCCCCTGGCACTACTTCCCACATGCCTCAGCAGCTTTCTGTGCTCGATAAAATTTTCCAGTTTCGCGCGGTGTTATTTCCGTCCTAGTTGTGAAAGATATTTCTCAAATTTCCTACGTGTAAAATCCTATGTTTTTAACTCATTACGGATGGTCTTTCCAATGAGATCTTTTTTATGCTTATGACAATAATGTTAAACAAAATTACGCACATGAAATACTTAGAACGTTTCGAGTCTCATCCACTCATTCTAAATCATTGCCGAAATAAATTCAGGAATTAAAATAGAAATCCTCCCCAGTGGAGTCGCCAAAAATTGTAGGGAATATTTCAAGCGTTAACCCCTAGCTTGAACCCTACTGTGATCATACACTAAAGTACGGTGGCGTCAAAAAGGGAAGAAAAAAGAGCAAAAGAGTCGCCAACAAGTTTTAGGAACTTGTAAACCATTCACAAGGTGAAGGTTACACCCCTTAACGATCCAAGAGATCGTCAACTCCATAAGGTCTAGAATCAAATAAGGGTTCGGGGATGAAGGTACAAATCCAACCTAAAAGAGATTGAACCTGCCCTAATAATAGGACTCTACTTTATTCTGATCGTATTCATGTGCGCTTTCTAATTAACATATAATCAATAGGATTAACCCTAAACCTGTTTATCTATGTTGGTTGAGTATTAATGCACAAATAAACTATTATTGGAGATCACATGAATTATAATCATATTAACCCTAAACAAGATTATTAATTATCTTATTAAGCGTGATTACAAGTACTAATTCCCTTTAAACTTGAATAAAAGGTGTGATCAAGCAATAACAATAAATAATTTATCAAGCAACATAATATATAATCAAAAAAATAAAAATCATAATAATAAGAATAATAATAATTATAATAATCATTATCATTATCATAATAATAATCATCATAAAAAAAATAATAATAATAATATTCATAATCATCATAAACAATTATAATCATAATCATGATAATCATAAATCATAATTAAAATAATCATATTAACATTAAAGCATAATAGCAGCAAGATCCTAGGAATGATACTAACAAGATTAATAACAAACCCTAGCATGTCACTAAGCAATGAAAATCAGATCTTTGAACCTAACATGATACTAACAATCATAAATATTAGGAAGAACATAGGAAGCATCTTAACAATCATATTTAATATTAAAATTACCCTAGACATGATACTAGGAATATCATAATAACAATATAAACATGATTTCTACATCATAACATCAATAAAAACCATTAAAGTACTTACTTTGATGCCTCGTACATCTTTCTTATAACAAAATACACACGCTAGTAACTTCAAGGAAAATAATAATCAACAATTAAATTAAATAATTGAAAGAGAGATTTGGGATCAAACCCTCAGAAATTACACCTTTCAAGTCTAGGGCGAAGGCAACTTCGAATATGGCTAGGTGTTTCTAGATCTTGTGAATGCGGAATTTTGTATTGTAAAAGACTAGTTTAGAAAAAGAAAGAAAGAGAGATGGAGATGATGAATGATTAAAAGAGAATGAGAGAATTGATGATTGCGAATGAAAACTAGGTGTAGGTGAATGAAAACGGAGTTTTTAATACGTTATTTATAGAGAAAATCAGCCAAAAAGATAAAATATCAAAACAGAGCATTGGCGCACGTGAAACAGAGCTGGCGCCAACGCCAGCTTATTGGCGCCAGGCGCCAACATTAGCGCCAGGCGCCAACATTAGCGCCAGGCGCTAGGCTTAGCGTTAGGCGCCAATGCCTGGAGTTAGGAGCTAACCCTGTTTTTGACGCGTTTTCTAAAATCAGATAAATTTTGTCGTACAGGAGGATAAAATCGTATCTTTTCCTCAAAAATGTTCTATGATTTTAATTAAAACTCTGAAAAGTCAACAAAAGTCAATTTATCAATGCTAATAGAATAAGGAATGAAAAGAACCTTCTAGAAGAATCTAGAAGTTTAAAACCATTCCTAATTGCATTAGGAATGATAAATCATATTAGGCCCTCCCCTAGATCATTGGGCCGCATATAAGGCTCAAACCAGGCCTAGTTTAGTAATTTGGCCATAACTTCCACAATATTCATCGGAATTGGGCTTATAATATATCGTTGGGAATCTCTTGTCAAGGCCTATCCAACTATACTACTATTGGACCCATATCATGGACCAACCAAACTAGATTGACTGTTTTCTTAAAATAAGTTTTCAAAAACAGAGAGAATAGAAAAGAAATTAAAACTTTCCGCAATACTAAACTTTCCACACTTTCGCTCCATTTGATTATGATTCGACGTGAAAGGTACTTGTCACTAGGTTTGGTTTTGGGGAGACACTAATGGGTGTCTACAATAACCAATTTAAAAAAAAATTCAATTACTGAGACACAAAGCCAATTGGAAAATATGTTTAATTTCACAAGAATATGACATTACCTACCGACTTCTTTTTCTTGCTGTCATCCTTACTTTCTTCTTCTTCTTCCGCTTTCTTCTTCTTCTTCTTTGTACTCACCTCATCTTGTCCAGACCTTTTCTTCCTCCCTTCTTCTTCAGGGTCCTCATTCAGTACTTCTTTATTACAACAAAAAAATGAAACAATTATATAACTAACTATGAACCGCTATGAACCAAACCGTACCAATAACACGAGAAAATTATGTAATTACCTCCTAGCTTCTTTTTCTTCCTTTGAAAGGCATACTCTTCTTTAACTAGAGTTCTTCTAGTTTTCATATCTATGGTAAGCCATGACAAATCCTCATCATCAATATCAGCTACTACTTCATCCGCCTCGTCTCTTTTCCTTTTAGTTGGAAAACAGTCCTTTGCCTTCAACGGGTGACCAGCATCCCCACCATACGAAACGTCTAGAGACTATCCTAAGTAAAAAATAAATTTATACAACTATAAGATTGTAGCTATTTAATAAAATAAATATTCCAATTACCCCCTTTTTTCCAAAGTCACCCGTTGGGAAAGGATCTTCTTTACAAGCTTTGCTCATCTCCTTTGTAGTCCATACTTTTAGCCTCGGAAACTCATTCCACTCAAGTGGAATTTTGTTCAGTCTATCAAGATACAAAAACTTCTTTTACATAAACAAACATCAACTTCGGCTTTATGACTTCTAAATGAATGAAAAAAGGTTTACATTCAGATATTTTAGAGGTGTCAACTTACCGACAGAAATAAAGTACACCCACCACTTCCATGGGAAAAACCATTGTTATTAAACCTTTTAGAAAAGCTTGTCATCGCATGTAATAACTCAGCCAAAATGAGAGAGCACCAGTTATACAGTTTAGCACTGCTTGCAACTGCAGCTGCATGCAGATGTTTCTTCTTCATGCGATGACAAGTTGTCGAACAGAGTGTATTCAACATCAGCAACACAAAAAGCTGCCGAAACTTGTCCTCATCAGTACATGGAGCCTCCAAAGCTTCAATAAAAGTCTTCCTTGTTATCCCTTCTGTCCTAGAATTGTAAATGGTGCGGTACTTTATCCAGAAACTGTCCTCTACCTCCTGATCAACTACCTTTGTTGGTACCGGTCTCCGTCCGTGAGGTATGCCCAGAACCCAATGCACCTGAATAGAAGAAAAAGGGTTAACTATCCCATCTGTCATGCGAAGGCACTTCTTATCAACATCTACCCGAGTACACAGCCAGTATGCCAACTGTCGAGGTAACCTCTTCCCAATAGCATAAAATAATGTGCCAAAACCCATATCTCTGACTATTCGAGTCTTTGTTTCATCAAATTTGCCTAATACCCTCCCAAATGTCTCAAGAGGGCAATTCACATTCATTGACTGCAAAATAAAGGCAGAATTTCATTAACGTCTCAAATTCATGCTTCAAAACATAACAACAAATTTCTCAACAAACATACAATCTTCTCGTATTGTTGGAACGTTTCGATAACTTTCCCAGCCTCCTTTAGCCTACCGCCTACACTTTTAGAATTATCCTTTTGCAAACAAAAATAATAAGAAACAATCATCAGAATACTTTATACAACTGATATCAATCAAAATGAACTAAATAAAACCACATACAAAGCAAACTTATAAAAATACCGTGTAAACAATCGGATTAATGTCTTTTATCACGCTCTTCGGCTTCACCATCTTAGCCTTCCCCTTGGCCTTCCCTTTTCCTTTACCTACATTGGTAAACAAAGCAAATATAGATAATCATTGGAAAAACAACAGTATAGTTAGTGTGTCTAAATTTAGGTAAAAGAAACTTTACCCCTCTATGAATTTTACGACTTGAACATATTTCTTCTTCTTCACTATCATCCATAGAATACGTTTCAAATGAAGGTTCCTCTTCTAAATAAGGATCAAAAGGTGTATCATCACCACCTCTTCTCTCACCTCTCACAACCCTTCTCCCAACACCACCCCAACCTCTACTAAGACTACCAACAATACCACCTCTCACAACACTACCACCTCTCCCACCTCTCCAACCTCCTCTCACTCTCATAACACTCCCACCTCTCACAACACTCCCACCTCTCTCACCTGCAACAAACAACAACAAGAACCAACATGATAATCAAAACAATCAGAATTAATTTAGACTAAAAAAACCATCAACTAAAGCTGCCATTACTTTGATCTCAATCATTGTTGAAACCCTAAGACAATTATAATCACTACAACCTAACTTATTAGTTACAGGGAGGAGCAAACCTAACCTCATTCACTACTTCAGGGCATGCTTAAACATCATAAACAACAACATCAGTGCCATAATTTCAATGATGAGCTAAGAAATGCCATATTAACACCTATTACCTATTAGAATTCTTGTCATTTATATTAATAATACAGTCATATTACAACCACAATTAAAATCTATATTACTTGCTAATAGAATTCTTGTCATTTATATTTTTATAAAAGTCTTATTAAAATCTATATTACTTATTACTAATTTAGGAGTAAATACCCTAATTCAAAAATTATCACAAACCTAATCACAAATTATCACGAAACCCTAAATTCTGCAAAGTTTTTATTGACATTTCAAGTAAAAAGCAACTAAATTGTTGTATAAAACCAAAATTTAGTACAAACTTAGGTCATACAACAACCTAAATTTTGTACAACTGCAAAAATATAAACAACGAAACCTAAGAACATACAACAACATAAATTTCAAAATTAGGAATTTGGAATTTTCAAAATTTATAAAATGTATTAGCTTGAAATTTGCTAACCAAGTAAGTCACATGCAATTGTAACAGTAATTACATAATCATTCAGAGACTCACCTCGACACCTCATTTTTGTCGATCAATTGCGCACGAAATTCTCTAAAATTTTCTTTCGTCGAAGAACTTTTGATCAAATATCACTTCCCCCAACAACCCACAAGGTCTTCTTTAGAATTGAAGGACTTCAATTGCTCAACGATATTCAGATTATTAGAGAAGAGATGAGAAAATGAACAGCTTTACAAAGCTTGCTTCAGAGAAGGAAGAGAGTAGAACAAAGGAAAAGCGGGAATTAAACCAACGGGAAACGGGAGAGGCATATTATATATTAGTATTTTAATACGTATACAACAGTAGCAATACATACATATTAAGTTGAAGCCCATGCGAAAATACCAAAACACCCCCGTGCTCGGAAATTTAACCCCAGCAAATTGCTGGGCTGAGACCGACTCGAAGAAATGGGTGTTAATTTCTTTGGGAAAATATGGCAATGAAGAACAATGAGGAAGTTTTGTCAAGCTTTCTTCGATGGATTTAATTTAAGACAAGTTTCCTTTAATTGGGGTTACAAAAATTATAGCTTAGAATCTGGATATTAAGAGTGATTGGATCTCTGCAATGGTAGTGTTATTGAGGAAAATAAATGGTGCTCATAACTGATTTTCGATTTGAGGTTGCAATTTGAAGTTTATTTTTGATAAGGGGTTGTCGGATTTAGGAAATTCATGGGTAACCTGGTTCAAGGTTTTGGGGGTGGATGCAGTGGTCGGATTTCAGGTAAGGGGGGTGGTGGCCATTGAAGGAACTTGAAGAGGGTGACTTAAGCTTAAAGAACATAATTACGAAAAAAACAACATGTTTAGCAGGTTGTTAACAGGTTGTAAGTGAAAAGGCATGTTTTGAGTATATGAGGGTTAAAGGTGGAATTGTTTTCAGATTTCGAAAATGTAGGATTGTTTTGAGCAAAAATGACAATGGTGGGACTATTAATTTCTAATTTTCCTAAAAAAAAAGGTAAAAATGAGATGATGGATGAGAGGACAATAAAAAAAGAGTGTGGAAAATGTCTATTCCCTTATTTTCTTAAGGAAAATGTGTTCTACGACTAAAGATGCAATTTTCCTCCATTGGCAAAATTTTTTTCCACTCCTTTACAAAGAAAACAAAAGAAAATAAGAAAAATGGGGAAAAAATTCACTTTTTAAGAAAAATTTTTACACTAAACCAAACGGAGCCTAAAATTTCAAAGTTTTTAATTATGGTTAAGTTAAAGGAAAAATAGCCTGGAATAATCCCTTCATTGGGTCGTCCGCTAAAAAAAAAAACCCACCTTTGGATTATTTTCTAATAATCCGATTTTTAACAACAATCTTCATTAGATAGTCCCAACAAGTTAATTAACTTGTTAATTTTTTATAGCAATTTACTTGACACGTGTCGGAACCTAATTGGTCTAAAAAATAAAAAGTTAAAAGATTTTTTTTAAAAAAATTAATTAATTTTAAAACCTAACCACTAGCCAAACAACCTACCTGCCGCGCTGATTACCAATGCCACCGTACCGTAGCCGGCTGTGCCGACCTCCGACCTCCATAGTCCCTCGAATCCGCCCGCGATTCGTTTCCCCGTCACCCGATGCCGACCTCGCTGACCACCCCATGCCCTTGATACCAGACTTGTTAACCTCTCCCATCTCGCGTCCCCTGATTCCAGCCGTGCCGAAAATGTCCCCTGATTCCAGCCGTGCCGAAAATGTCCCCTGATTCCAGCCGTGCCGAAATCCCCTGAGGAAACAATTTCGGCTGTGTTGACCTCCCTTGCCCCCAGTTCTGTCCGCATCAAACTCCCTAATTGTTTCCTGAGATTTGGTTTGGTTGTTTTTTAATAGTCTTGGGTTAATGGGGGTTTTGAGGTTTGGTTGGCTAAGTTGGGATTCCAATTGGCATGGGCAAGTGGCGGTGGTTTCGGGTCTAGGTAGGATGGTGGCCTGGTTCTAGGTTTATTTTTTTAATTAGTTTTTCCCTTCTTTTTGTTTTTTTTTTTTTAAATTTTTTGACCAATCAAGAGGCAACAAGTGTAAATTAATTTATTTTTTTTTTAAAAAAAAAACCTACTCAACCGGTTACATGTCACCAAGGTTAAAGAAGATTGGCTTTAAAGGTCGGACTATTAAAAAATAATCCAAATGTGGGATTATTTTTAGCAGACGGACCAAAGCTGAGATTATTTTGGGCAATTTTTCCTAAGTTAAATATGGACATTTTGTTTCAAAGAGAGGCCAAGCTAAAACAATAGCTTAACTTATATTACCATGACATTTGGTAAAAGAAAGAATTTCAAAAGATCCTCATTGCATCTACATTCAACAATAAAGACAATATCCTTAACAACAAGATTTGTACATGATTTTTTGAGAGCAAGATTCTCAGCTCTGTACTCGAATATTTGCTCCGAACTCATTTCAAGTCTTTTGAGCTCTCGCACAATCTCTAACAAATCTTGGGAAAACTCATAATCTCCTACCTCAATGCATCGGAATCTCTTCATCTGATCTAATGGTAGCACTAGTGTAATCCAATTTCATCCCGAAATGATACTCCTTAGTAGCATTTAATACTCAGTTCAATGACATCATCCAAATTCCTCAAAATTAGTCACCCCTACACCCTACATCCCAACTTACATAATGTTCATACCCACAGGAAAAAAAAAAAATAATAAAGTCGTAGTCACACTCCCGAAAAAATGTGGGGGATTACATGAACCAAGAATATATCCCAAGTACTCCACTTTCACAAAATTTCAAACGCATCATAAACACCAAAAAAAATTGTTAAAATTCTTTATATAAAAAAATATACACAAAAAAAAAAAAAAAAAAAAAACACGCTGAAATTTTAAGAAACAAAAAATCCAAAAATAAAAGTAAAGTGAGTTCAGAATTCAGACCTTACAAGTTGAGTAGAGAAACCCAAAAACATTTACTATGAAGTGTAGAGAAACCTAGATTTTTAGAAAAAAATTTGAAGGAATTGTTAGGCTCGAGGGCTTTACAATTGACATTTGCCACAAGGGGCATAATTTATTTAGCCTTATCATAAAGAACCACATAATACCATTTGAAATGACAAGCAAATTTATAAATTCACATCTCTAGTCATTCTACTTCTTGATAAATCTTATTCTTTATCAAAGTGATCAAATGGGAGTCTAATTAGTCATTTGCAAGAATTCCTGAATTTTCATGACCATTTAGATGATTAGTATATTCGCAATGTCAAATCTAATTAGTGGAATAATCTATGACTTCAAACGAAAGGGGATTTGCATTGCATTTGTAAGATTGAGGTTCAAGTAAATTACTATAATAAAAACCCTAAATTGACTATGGTGACAATTAATAAAACAAAGGTGTGAAGTTATTATCACTACTACATTTTGATCTATTGCAGCCCCCTAAATTCGTTGCATTAGGCGCCAAAATCCGTGACATTAGGCCTAATGCAACGACAATGTACCGTGGCATAGGTCTAATGAAACGACATATGACACCTAATGCGATAGCATCAATGATCCGTTGCGTTAGATCAATATCTGATGCAACGGCAGCATTCCGTGGCAATAGAGTACTAACTACTAATTATCATGAAACACCTAATGCAATGGCAAAGGCTAACACAACGACATGTCCCATATGCAACGGCTACTATCATTATTCTTATTCGTATTCATATTATTATTATTATTATTATTATTATTATTATTATTAATTTTTTATTTTTTTTTTTATTATTATTATTATTTTTTTATTACATAGGAACATTAATATATGTCAATGAATCTATATAACTATAACAAAAAAAAAAAAAACAAAAACAAAAACAAAAAAAAAAAAGAAAAGAAAAGAAAATTGCATAGATATTTAAAAATTAAGAGTACACGCATACAATGTAACTTCAAAAATAAGTTACAACTTTACTCATCAATTCATATATTTGACATTAATTAGTTTAGAGTATGAGTAAGAAATAAGTAATAATTTTCATTTGTCAGCCCCATTTGTTTCTACTTCTCCGAGTCCCCAAACTGATGCATTACATTGTTTGTCTCTACTGCTAAAAAAAAAAAAATGTTTATCTTAAGTTCTCAGCATAATAATTTTGCTGCACCACAATTCACAGGAGGAGCTATCAACTTATATTGCTGCATCACAATTTACTAGAGGGGCTATATACTTATATAATAATCATGTAGAATCAAATTATTACATCACCATTACATATAACAATATTTGATACACTTATCATAGAATGAATTTAACAGCATAATCCGTGCAACATTATTCCATTCTCCTTTGTCAACACTATAGTCTATTAGGGTTGAGCATAAAAGGGTGCCCTGGAAAAATTTCAGGAACCTATATTGCAACAGTCGGAATTGGAACCTGTTGAACAAGTTCTTAGAAATTG